GCTAATTGGTCTGTAGGACGTTGAGGTGTTGGGAGGTTTGCCTGGTTTCGGAAACAGGATAATAGTGGAATGTTTCCACAAAAGAGGAAAGTGGGTGGTTCGTAGGATGCTATTGTATATGTATGTAAGGAATATGACAGCTTTAGGAGGGAGTTGTCTAAGGATCTGAGAGGTAAGGAGGTCGTATCCAGGTGATTTACGGGTAGGTAGTTTTTGTAAGAGGAATTTGACCTCAGAAGGATTAACTGCTTTAGGCGGTAAGGAGAGTGGGATGGGTGAATTAAGGAAGTCCTCTACTGCTGACATGTGGGTGGGATTGGATTCTGGATGAGAGGTGAATGTAAGGGAAAGGTGTTTGGCGAAGTCTTCGGCTCTATCTTCGTCAGATGCTGCCCAAGAGCCATCACCTCGGCGGAGAGGATGTGATATATGATGGGGTTTTAGGATTTTTGTTGTGGTTTTCCAAAGGGAATTGTCATGAGAAGAGAGGGAAGTGAGGTAGGAGTTGAAGGATTGGGATCTGAAGGTGGCCAATTCTATCTTTAGTTTTTTGCAAAAATAATTATAGGATTGGCGATCGGTGGGGTGTCTAGTACGTTGCCATAGTAATCTGGCACGGCGTTTGGTATGGATTAGGTCTATGAGGTGTTGAGGTAACTTATGTTTCTTAGGAGTTCTTGAGGAGTGGTTTGGAGAGGAAGCAGCCCAGAAAAAAGTGTACGGTATTGTCAAGGTCATTTGGGGTTTCAGGGTCATTCTGAGGTCAATTTTATCGGTAAGGATTTGGTGAAAGAGTTTCCAGTTAACTGGGCCTCTGATGAAGGACGGTGGAGAAGACTTAGGAATAGGAGCTAGAGATAATTGGAGTAATAATGGACTATGATCTGAGGATAGTTCGGCAAGAGGGGTAAGGGAATGATTGAGGGGACCTAAGCCACTGTGGATGAAAAAATCAAGGATATCGGGATTGCGGTTAGGATCTGTGGGCCAGTAGGTAGGTGAGTTGGGTGGAAGGAGACTGAAACGTTGGGTATTGAGTGCAGACAGAAATGTTCTGCCACGAGAATTCGTGGTTCTTGAACCCCAAACTTGATGCTTGGCATTTAAGTCTGCACCCAGGATGAAATGATGACCTAAGGAGTTGAGGAGAGAACTGAACTGGACTTTGGATATGGATCTGTTAGGAGGGCAATATGCTGATGCAAGGGTGACTGGAAAGGAGAAGGCTTTGATTACAATAGCGGTTGACAGTAGGAAATCTTGAGTAGGTAATGGGAGTAAGTGATGGGAGAGGGATTGGTGTACGATGACAGCAGTGCCGGCATGTGCTCTGCCATCAGGGTGGTCAGTACGGTATGTTAAATACTGTGGGATTTTTAAATGCTGTTTTATGGTCAGTCGAGTTTCTGTAATTAGGGCTACGTCAATGTTCTTGTCTTGTAGTAAAGCTGTTAGTTCGTCAACGTGATTTCTAACACCATTCGCATTCCAAAGGAGAATGGACATGGGTTTTGGGATATGGGTCATTAAGGATTTTTCAAAGGAGGGATGAGGTGAGATACGAGATTTGTAAGGAGTGATATGAGTGGAGTGACTAGGGATTTGAAATCGGTTAGGAAAGATGCTAACAAACTAGTGAGATATGTTGCATTTGAAGGAGGAGGAATATGAGGAATTTGAGGTTGTTGATGATTATGTGTGTTAGGATGAACAGAATATTGAGATTGGGGCTGAGATAGTTGCTGCGGCAGGGCTTCACATGTATTATTGGGGTTCTTACCTCCAAGTAGTTCGGAGTATGATAAATTATTGTTAACAATTCTAGAAGGTTCTCTTCTTGGTCTGGTTGTCTCATCTTGAATCCGGTTCTTCTGGTATCTGGATTTGAGGCTCTTATAGGTTTGGCAGCCTTTGTAGTTGGCCGGGTGTCCCTCCTGGCATAGTGCACACACTGCAGGATCTTGTAACGGTTTGGTGCACTCCACAGATTTGTGCTGTTCACCGCATTTCACGCAACGCGGCAGATGGTGACAATAAGTTTTCGTGTGGCCATACGCCTGGCAATGGTGGCACTGCATAATTTCCTTCTTGGGGTATGGCTTCTCTATCTTCACGATAGTGTAGTACAATCTCTTGATATCATATATTTTTTCAATGCCAGGTTATGGCTCTAGATCCACGAAAAATAAAGGTAGTGGAACTTTATTACTCACTCCTGGCTGCTCCTTATTCTCCTTCAGAACGTTGGTTACCTGACGCACTTTGAAACCAAGCGTCGCTAGTTCTTCTTTTATCACTTCAGTTGGGATTGAGGAGTGTAAATTTCTTACCACCACTCATAGCGATCTCTCCTGTTTCAGCTGGTACGTGTGGAAATTTGCATTCGTTTCTGACAGGTACTTCACAATTTTTCGGTAGGCTTCTGCTATATCAGGTGTTATTTTTGTGTCGTTAGTCCTGTTGAGGCAAGAATAACTGCCGGAGCAGATTTCGTTTAGCTGTGTACACAGTAGTTGAAAATTTTTGATATTTTTTACAAATAACGGAGGAGGCCTTGGTTCCCTGGGTACTGCTGCTGACTCCATTACTTCTCTGTCATTATGAAGCACTTGGAACGGGTTTGGAGTGAAGAAAGGAGATTCTTCGACCATTTCTTGCGAAGAGGTACCTGGTTGAGGCTGAGGTTCTGTATCTGAAGTTTTCACTGTGGTTATTGGAGCTATTTCTCGCAGGCAACGACGAGTTTTTTGTTTCACTGGTGAATCACGAGGGGTGCTAACGCCGTCTGACCGAGTCCTCTTAGTGGGCACCTTACTGGACATCACTGGCTGACAATGCCGCATAACATAAGAGAAGAAAAAAAATTTAAAAAAAAAAAAAAAAAAAAAAAAGTTTTCAAAGGAGGGATGAGGTGAGATACGAGATTTGTAAGGAGTGATATGAGTGGAGTGACTTCACAATACTGCTCTGGTGTACACTTCAACTATATTCAGTAAATAATCAAAGAGATTCTGCTGAAAAATAGGCAACAACTGAGAGAAGATTTCAGAACACGTCCTTCGCATCAGCTGATCCACTGCCTTGTGGATCATATTTCAACATAGATATAATTAATATCGCATAAGTAATATCCCTATTCTCCTACTTCCTCTTCTTCTAGGGATACCAGTGTTGCTAAGAATGGCCATTACAGAAATATTTTGAATAAACTAAAAAAAGTTTATAAACTAAAACTTTCGACGTTTTAAGCCACAGAAAATTGTCCTGAAGAAAATTTTGTTTGAAAATACGGTTTTCTAATGCTTTACTCAAAACATACAAAATTAGAAACAAATAAAATTTCATAAAAATAAAGTCAAAAAGAGCTACCCACACCAACCTAAGATCCAAAGCAGAACTTTAACTGAAATAATCTCCTAAAGTGAAAAACTATTTAATAATATTTCTTCAGGAATAATGATAAAGTAAAAAACAATTCAAAACAAATAAACAATTTAAAAAAAAAAGTTACAATTATATATCATTAAATTTAATAACACAATATTAAATTATTATTTAATTAAACTTATTAATCATAAGCTCTAAATTATATGTTATTATTACTAATTATGATGTTTACTTTTTTTATAAATGCCTTATTATAAATCTTTTGAAAAAAGTATTAAGAGAATAAGTCAAAGAGAATTAATCGAAAACAATAATTTTTCATCCTAGTTGAACGTTTAAAGTTGTTTTAGCCACCCCAACATTACAACTGAGGAGGGAAGGCTACGGTCCGAGGCTCACCGATTTCAACCAATTTTTCTTTCCCTAATACTACATGCAAATGTCCCGCCCTTTGTTCCAATTTCCTCTAGCAACGAGGAAAAAATATTATATTTCAAATAAAATTGATATTTATTTTTGCCTTTCCTCTCCCCAAACTTTTAAGTTATTATTTAATAATCGATTTCTTTTTTTAGTAGAATAGGAAAACAATATTTAATATGGTATTAAATATGTTATAAAGTATAATAAATTTTAAAAACCAATAGCCGCTTCTACTAAAGTAGGCCTAATATATTTTCGCTATAAAAAAAAACCAGTTAGATTCGTTTTAAGTGTCATTTGAAGCTCTTAAATGCCATTTTTTTTAGAAATCGGAGATTTCAAATTTTATTACTTGATTTTCTTAGAGAATTTTTTTCCCGCCCGTTAACCAAAGCATTCATAGTTCAGGATAGGCTCCAAATTTAACATCAATACAATGGTTCAAAAGCTGATTTAATACTCTCAGAGCAATAACTTTTAGATTGCATTCCCTTTTAAACTAGAAACTAACAAAAACTTCCCAAATATTTTTATTTTATATCTTTGGTTGTAATTGATTTACGGTGTCGCTCATAGAGCCCTAAATTCCTAATAATTTTCATGTCAATCAGTGGGCTCTTCTCAAGTGTCAAGTGTGTAAAATGTTCAATTCTTGATTTCTATAAAAAATGATAATTAAGAACTTTAATAAATTGCTTTATTATAATAAACATTTTCTTGACATTTCACTGGAAGCTCCTTTTAGATTTTGTAATTTATGATACATTATAGCTCATTTAATACCATAGTCATTATTTTTATCTTAACCTGCACAAAATACGATATAGATTGATCTTTAATAAGCTAAAAGTTGAGGCAAAGGAAACATAAATAATATAAATCTAAATTGAAATTATATAATTTTTTTTTCGGCTCCTCCAAGGTGCCCCGGGGCATTTGTCCAATATGTTTCAATATAATCTGATATCACCAAAAAAAACTTGGTTGAAATCCACCCTCTGACTTTAGACTTCTTTTCTAAGTTATTCGGTACGTTTTTGATACTCCTATGATAATAACCATTGAAAATGAGACTTATAAGGGCCAAAACTCAGACTTATCAATTTTGACTTACTCTAAATACTTTTATCAAAAATAAATAAATAAATAAAAATATAATATATTGTAGATTCTAATCTGTTTTATTTCAGTGACCATTTAAAGATCCACATGAAGACTCATGACAACCAGAAACCTTATCAGTGTGTCTATTGCAATCGTGGGTACAACACAGCTGCTGCTTTAACTTCACATTTGCAAAATCACAAAAAAGAAATTACATCATTATCTGCAAATACAGATAAAACATCTAATTCCATCTTCAGATGTCTTCGGTGTAATATCATTTTTACAAAATCTGAAGAACTTTATGTAAATGCATTTTTATAATAATTGATTTATTTTTTCACATTGAATTATTAAATGGTATTCAATAATTTATTTGAATACAATTTTTTTTTGTATCATCTCACAGCATGCATGCATGTAAATAAGAACTATTACCCATGTAAAATGAACAGATTACCATAAAAATAATACATTAATTATAAATAAAGGACACGATAATTTTTAAGAGGCATTTGGTAATAGCATTTCCACCACTAATGTAAGGAGATAAATTTTCCAAGGATTATTTTTATAACCAAGTTATAAGCAAGCCTCGGATTTTTATACTGTAAAATACCCACAGAATATGCCATATGATATGCAGTAAAAACACCTAAAATTTTTTTTTTTTTTTTTTTTATTAAACGCCTCTACCGTTGGTTTTTAGGTCCTGGACTCCTTAAATAAATATCGCAATAAAAAATAACAAGTTGTATTAATAAAATATAATATCATACGAAAAAAAGAGCTCATGACAACTGAAAGAAATTAAAAAATCAAAACAGTAAACACTAAATATGGGAAAATAAGAGTGACCAGAAAATTTAAGTATTGGGGAGGAATAATATGTTACAACGGTTCTGAGAAAGAGAGCATCCGAGAGGAAATTTGAAAATTAGAAAATTTGAGCTTTCGAACAGGCAAGATTTACAACAAAAGGAACCTCACCTCCAATGCAAAGTTAAGGCATTACAACGTTGTGATAAAGCCTGTGATTTTACATGGGATGGAGAGCACATGCCTACCCAACTTGGAAAAGCTGTTAAGAATACAAAGGAGGATCTTAAGAAAAATCTATGGGCCCAGGAAAACACAAGAAGGTTACAGGAGAAGATCTAACGAAGAGATCTACATAAAAATCAAAGACCTGGAAACCGAGATAAGAATCAGAACGCTGATGTTCTATTGGCACATGAAAAGGATGAAGGAGGAAAGATTGAACTAAAAGATCTTTAACAAATTTTTTAGCTACAAAAGCATGGGAGGAAACACAAAGCAAATAAGAGAAGAATTAAAGAACAATAAAATTTCAAATGCCGACTGTCAAGATAGAGACACATTCAGGAAAACACTGAAAAATCTCACCAATATTGGAAGAGGAAAAATTAGGGATACAAAGTGGTCCGAAGAAAGAAAAGAAATTCAGTCACAAACTGCGATGGGAAGAAAGAAACTCAAGCCTCCCAAATAAGCTTAATATTCGCGTGGTCCTTAATGGCTGATACATGATTAAAAAAAAAAAAGAAAATAATAACAAAGCATAATAACATAATATAGTAATAAAAGATAATTAACAACTTGTGGAATAAATAATGTAAAATAGAGATAAAATTATGCTTTTGTAAGGTTCAATCCATGATTTTAAATTTGATGAAAATGATAAAATACTTTTAGCATTTTAAATAAATAAAAATCTGATCTCTTACAAAAAACGTAGGCAACGAACTGAAATAGAAACTTAGTATAATGTTTACATGGGACAAGAAAGGGAGATAGATTTCTGGGAATTGGTGAATATTTATAAAGAGAATTATTAAAGGGTATAACGGAAGGTAGGTATTAATTCTGCAAATGTGGTAAATTTTGTTCATTGAAGATAAAACTACGACTGTAATCTTAAATTGCATCTACAATGTTGCATTTTAATTTGAATGTATAGATATTCATTTACATATTTATATTTTGTTTATTTCATTAAATTGACAAAAATATGCAAAATAAAATTTGCCTCATTGAATCACAGTGAATTTGTATACCTAGATATTTGATCAGCGGTTAAAAAAATCAGGCGAGCATAATACCGTAAAATGGAGTAACTTTAGGACTGGGTGGGTAACTTTGGGACAGCGGCTAAAATTTAGTTTGTGCTGAATCCCTGGTGGCTACACTGAATACAGTGCATTACACTGCCAACAGGCTCACTCAGCATGGACATCACAAGTTCTGCGCTACTACCTTGCGGCACACTACTCTTGAGGCACAAGCGGAAGTTTTATGAAAACAAGAAGTTTGAAAAAAGCAATTGAAATAGATAAAACCTAACTGCACGAGTGTAGTGAACTGGGGTTCTCAAGGGACAGCAGCGCAGTACATGCCATAGTGAAACAAATAATTCAGAGGGGTGATTTGAATTGTAGAGGCTCAGATAGGCAGTAGATCTAGCCAGAATACCTGGCAATCTACCTCCTAAGAAAATTCTGACGGGCTCGTTTTTAGTCGTCGCAGGATTAGAAGGCCGAAGCTGCGGTGGACAGATACTATGTGTAGCCCATGATGCAAGAAAATATTTGAAGGTGCGAAACTGGATGGTGACACAGAATAGAGATGTATAACAGTTGCTGCTGGAGGAAGCTAGGGCTTCAGAAGAAGATTTGAAAAGTTAAACGGAAAATTTTCCTTATTTCGATTGAGGAACATGATGAACAATAAAAATTTGCTTTAGATCCCGAGTACCGAGCGGGTGCAGGCCCTTAAATAATGTGGCAGAAGAATCAGTCCATTGAAGGATCAAAAGCTTAAATAAACATCTCTAGCAATTAATTAATATTGTAAATAATTGGCCATGTTGTGATAGTAAATCATAGTTAAGTGAAAATGTATGTTGTTTTTCATTCTTACTTGAAATCACTGTTATTCTTATGTTTAGATAGAATTATTATTAAGGTACTCTTGTTAGGCTGGAAACCATATTGTTCTTCCCCTACTTTTTGTTGTGCTACAAGGCACCTCAGCCGTTTTTCAAGCACATTGGAATATACATTGTAAGGAATGCTGAGCAGGGATGAATAGAAATATGGAAATAAATTTATGAAGTTGGGAGAAGGGGAGACCGTGGGAACCGAATCGGTCAGCTGGGTGGAATCCGTCTGTAGCAAGTGAGGGATTTTAAATACCGTGGTGCTCACCTCAACGAGTACCGATGGGTTGATGGAGACATAAAAGACAGAATTAAGATGGCTGGAAGATGCTTCCACTCCCTCAGGACAGGCTTCTGAAATATTGGCTCGATGGTTCTGATATTCACGATTATTCCTTTTTTTTTAAATAATAGGATTATGATGGAGAGTTCCAAGTCCTTCGGGATCACTTTCTTTTTCTAAGAGACTTTAAGGTGGTTTTGAAGCGATTCAAGTCCCTTCAGGCCTATATATCTCAACATTTTTTGTGAAATGCCATCTATGCCAGCTGTTTTTTCCAGCTTTAGTGAGCTTATAAACTCAGCAACTTCTTCTTCGCCAATGAAGTCAACTTCTCCCCGGGTTTGTTCTGTGCTGCAAGACTGTTGATTTGCTTCCAATTCCTGCCCGTTATATGCCAGTAGTCCTTTGAAATATTCCGCCCACCTTTTCAAAATGTTTTCTGGCCTGCACAGGGTGACTCCATTTTTGTCTTGGATGTGCTTCAGCACTGGTTCTTTCTGCTTCCTCATACTCCTGAGCCTTTGGGAGAAAAGCTTCAGGCTTTTCTTATAGTTGTTTTCAAACTTTTTCCCGAACTCTTCCCCGGACTTTATCTTTCCTTTCATCATGGCCTCTTTCACTTTCTGCCTTTTTTCCTTGTATGAGAAGTATGCCACAGCTGACTTGGTTTACAAGTATCACTTCCATAGGGTTTACTTCAGCTTGACTTGTTTAATTTCATCATTTCAGACGGTTTTCAGCTTGCTTTTTCCACAAGTAGTCCCCCTCTAGTATTCTTTTCTTGATTGCTGTCCAAGATTCTTCCACGTCAGGAGCATATAAGACCTGATATTCACAAATATCCGAGAAGGTTATAAAAAAAGAGCAGAGAGGCCTTCGCTTGCTTTGCAGACCTAAATAAAGCTTTTGACAGAGTGCAGAAAGGATATATCTCAACAGCACTGTAAGAATATGGCGCAACCTACAGTTTAATCTCTAGATCCTTCAAGATGAGCTAATGACTAGAAATATGGAAATAAATTTATGAAGTTGGGAGAAGGGGAGACCGTGGGAACCGAATCGGTCAGCTGGATGGAATCCGTCTGGAGCAAGTGAGGGATTTTAAATACCGTGGTGCTCACCTCAACGAGTACCGATGGGTTGATGGAGACATAAAAGACAGAATTAAGATGGCTGGAAGATGCTTCCACTCCCTCAGGACAGGCTTCTTGGACAAGAAGGAAATCTCAAATGTTACTAAGAAGGTTATCCTCAAAAATACTTCCCTTCCTGCTTTAACTTATTCAAATGAGTCTTTGGCCCTCATTTCCAAGCACAAAAGCCAAATTCAATCCATAGACATTTGGTATTAAAGAAAAAAAGAGGGGAAAACAAGAAGGGATCGCTTGAGGAATGGCACCATAAGAGCAAACCTGGGCCTGAGGCCGCCAGAAGAAATAATCCAAGAGAACCTATTCAGGTGGTTTGGGCATTTCTCGTGAAGTCAGAGTGGAGGGAAGGTGGCCACAGGGAAGACCAATAAATACCTGGGAAGAAGGAATGAAAGAAGTCTTTGACAGGAGGGGAATGGACTGGAGGAGGAGAAGGCAACTGGCTCAGGACAGAGATTTTTGGGCTAGACTCTACTCTTGCCGGAGGGGACCTCACACCGCTCAGCGGTAATATAGGACATGAATAAAGGAAAAGCTAAGCTATTATTAAGGTGCTACAGTCAAATCTAATGGTGTATTGCATTAGTCTGTGGAAAAGGGAAGGAACTATTTGTGTTACTGATTTCCTTCAGAACTATTTATGCTGCTGATCTTCCCATAAGAAAACAAAAATGGAAGGGAAAGTAGTTATCACCAACATTCACCATTTTGGAATTCTGCCTTTAATTTCAGAAATGGACCATTTGATTAACTATTGCAGTTTGTCAAAGGCCAGAATGTGAAGAAAAGTAGATTAGTAACTTAAGTTTTTATTTGAGACCTGAAATATATTTTTAACTTAAATATATTTTTTTACTGATAAGATTAAACAAATAATGATCTTTTTTTTTTTCAGATTCACATGGAAAAAAAACATTCAAGTAACACTGAATATTTGAAAAAAACGGTTACTGTTGGTTCTGATTTCAATTCTGACTACACCTGCATGTGCTGCTGCAAAGAAACTTTTCTTTCAGTTGAGGCTTTACAGTTGCACATTAAAGAGAACCATGGTAAATTTTGTATATTGGAGCTTTATTTCATTTTTTATATTTTTAGGTTTACTTTCCACTTTGGTGTGTCAATTTTTTTTACTTCCTTCAGGAATAAAAAACTATTTAATCGAAAACTATATATAGAGGTCTAAAAAAATAAATAAAAATCTAATAAGAGACTCTTTAAACGTTTCATCCTCGATAATTTTTAGTTCGTATCAGAATAAGGAAATAACTTAATGGTGCACTTGTCCCAGGCGGGAAAATTTAGGGAGTGGTAAATTTCAGATAAAATTGTATATTCAGATTAAATAAAAGATATGTGTGTCAGGATTCTGATTTTTTTTTTTTACCTTAATGCTGTCCAAGAAATAAGTTTATGCCACAATGTGTTTGTATTTATTTTAAAATACACTACCTATAATACTGTTGACTTTTATCGGAGAGAGGAAGAGGGTGCAAGGAAAGGCTAAATTAAATTAAATTATGTATTCCACTATTGAAAAAATCCTAGTTTCAGTCATAGTTCAAATGCCTGAAAGATTGTGGAAATTCGTAAACCAAAAAATTATAGACAATAAAATTATTCAAACACAAGCAAGGTTGAAATATGCGTCATATTGAAGGTATTGACGATGGAAGCTAAAATACATAGAGTACACATTTTCTTATTAGAATATTAATTCTAAATCCAAATCGTAAAGCCATTAGTCACCAACATACAAGTGAGCAGTTAACTTGCCACAGTTTTGCCAACTCAGGCATCATCAGGACAGAAAAAACAATATCACATACATGCAAAAAGAAAGAAAGGAAAAAAAAAACATTTACTATTGTCATCCCATCAAAACATACTGAAAACATAAAAACAAGAATACAAGAGAGGAAGGTTATATAAAACAGCTGATTATCGGCGACCACTGGCGGATCTACGGGAGGGGGAGGGCTTTCGGGCTGAAGCCACCGCCACCCACAAAATAGTAAAATATAACTTTTTGTGCCAAAAATGGTTTGAATTTCCCGTATTGCTGCGAGTGGTGGGGGCAGATCAGAGGATCTAAAATACAACACCTAAGCCACAAGAGCTGCTGGTTTTCTCGGTCACTTTTTCACTGGCAGCGACTCTGGATGCACCACCGCCACCTGAGGGCCTTCAAGGTAACCAAAAGATGTAAGCATAACCTTCCAACCCAGTAAGATGCAGTCCACTGCATAAAATTAGAATGTTGCCCATAATTTTTAATGTTGCGTCATTGAAACTCATGAGAGTTATTTGCCTTAATTAGAAAAGTTGCCTAAGCAATAACCATGTTTTACAGAAAAAAATATTAAAAACTATCTCTTAAAGTATTATTGTTCGTGAAATTACATTTAATAGGACTTCGCGAATCAGTTAAACACCATTGCATATAGGAAGGTTATTTCTTTTCTTTTTTTTTCAAATTAATTATCGTTATATATATCTATAGAAAATCTTTGAGGCGGAAGCCTCCCTCCCCCAAAATTAAATCTTGGATCCGCTTGAAACTTGAAATATAATAATACAAAAATGTGTTAGAGGTTCCTTTAGATATCTGACTTTTGGAATCTTTTTTGGATTTGTTTCCAGCTTCCAGGGGGAGAGGGGGCACGCACACCCCGGCTGGATCCGCTAGTGTGTTAGATAGGAACATAGTGTCATTATGGATGTCTCAGAAGGAGCTACGACGGTGGTGAAAAAAGACTAGAGGGCTTATTAATGAACGATGGTGTTTGAGTGGACCACTCAAAGGTGGGAGAATGTTGGAAACAGTAGGGATAATCTAGGAGGCTGCAGCGAGATGATACATTAATCACATATGTTCTAATTAAAACATAAGCAGTTGAATTGTACTTTGTGCTTATAAAAAAAATAATATTGTCAAAAAAACAATATCAGTGATGTGCATTTGCTATGTTCTTTTATTTTTTGCGTGCGAGTAACATTGTTTGGTGACAGGACTTTAGTTGATTTTGTTTAAATAATTAATTATTTGTGCTGCTTTTCTATAGTTAATAATTATGGATCAATTAAAGAAGAAAAGGAAACCTATTCGAATTGCTTTCACGAAATGAGCTGATAAGTTGGAGAAAGAACTTAATTTGGAGCTGGTAAATATTGAACATACTAAAATTTATTTACAACCATTAATTGAAAATAATAAAAAAATAAGTGACGCTCAAGTTGAATTAATGGAATTAGTGATTTCTGATGCTGATATGACAGAGCAAATTTATAATCAAGAATATGAAGACGCAGAAGCATATAATAGCAGATGCATAAATCTAAGCGTTAAAGTAGAAGTTTTAATACAAAGTAAAGTTGGTTCGGACCAGGGAACCTCTACTAAAATTTGTTCTGTTGTAGGTGTTAACTCTGTAAATAAATCACATAAGTTACCTAGACTTGAAATTTGTAAGAGAAGACAATGTAGGTGTTGGTAGGGATAAGGAGATCTGAGAATTCATATGCAGTAGGTAAGGCATTCTTAGGTTGCCTGATCATTCTGGAGAGAGTGAAAGAGACTCCCGCACCCATCTCGCTCTCTAGATCTTTTTTGTCTAAATTTGCCTTCCACGAAAATCTGCCACCTGGGTAAAGTGAATGCCTCCTCTTTACTTCCCCTCTTTTAGATCCATCCCTGCCAATGATATTTACATAACAACTCAAAATTTCAACTAATTGCATTAATCTTTAGACTAAAATTTGATTCTTATAACTTATAAAACTTTATTTGTTTTAAATTGTTAAACTAGCACTTTGATTAAGGTGCTTATATTTGTTTTAGATGGAATACTTAGAGACCACTCGAAGAGCTTGAAAATTAGTGAACAGGCTTCTGAAAATCCAGAAGTGTCCTGTGAAATCTGTTGTATGACTTTTTCATCAACTAAATTATTGAAAATTCATATTAAATGTGTTCATGGAGTGTTAAATAATGGTTTGAAAATTATATTTTTTGTAAGTGTGTATTAATATCACACAAGTTGTTAAAAGTTTAATTACATTTTAGCTTCTACAGAGCGATTAATTGATCAAACAAAACCAACTGATCTAAGTATTGTGAAGAAAAATGAAGAAACTGTACCTTCAAATTTTAAAAGGCTTCGTATGACTGAATCGACTAATTGTGGTATTGTAAATAATCAGGTAATATTTTGATTTTAATTTATTATATCATAATAAATTTTAGTAGAGGTCAGTTAGAGGTGCAGTCAAAGGTGAAAGTACACAAACATTTTTTTTTTTAAATTAATGATTTACATATAATTTCACCACTCCACTCAAATCTAACTTCTACGAAACCATCTACTTTTAGTTACTATTATATATCTCGTTATATGTTATAGTTATATATCTCCACCTATTAATAAATGTTCAAAATAAAAATCTGATTTAGATATCAACATATCTAATATTTATATTAGACTATTAATATTAGTCGATTGTTTTAGGAATAAAAATAAATAACTTTGTAAAGGTAGTTAAGAATCATTTTGAAAACTTACAATTCATTTTTAATTAGGGTGATGTTTTTTATGGACTTAAATGTACATAGTTGTTATTTTTATATCACCATTTTTTCAGACATGTAAATTTTAAAATGCTTTAATTTACAGCAAGATGTCCAGTATGATCCAGGTACACTTCTGTGTAACCAATGTAATGCTGCCTTACCAGATTTCGAATCATTTAGAAACCATTTGAAATCCCATCTAGAAGAGAGTGGACTATCCTCTATTTCAGGAATGAAACAGAAATGGTTCGGTTTGTGTCCTTATTGTAGACACTCAACATCTTCAGTGCAAGAATTAATAAAACATATAAGCTCTCATATTCTAACCACTGTCACTGAATACATGTGTCAAATATGCCAAAAATCATATCACAATTCTAATGAACTGGAGAAACATTTAATAGAGGTGCATTCCCATCACTTATATCTTTGCTATGCTTGTAAAGAAGTTTTTGATACAAAATATGAAATCCAGGTAAATGTTGATAGCATGTGTAAAATTAATATAAATTAATAACTTAACTATCAAACAATATTTTTGTTTCAGAGGCATTTTTTAATGAAACATTTTAGCGAAATAAAAAAATTTAGTTGCTGCATATGTCCTACATTTCCACCGATACATTCTGAACTCGAATTTGACCTTCATGTGAGAACAGTTCATTGTGGTTTTGATTCTTCCCTAACAATTCCAAACGTAAGCTGTTTTTTAAGAATACAATTTAATTAATCTGTTAAGAATTTCATAAAATTAAATTGACTATTCCTTCTATATTTTGAGTTACCAGTGACTTCTAACAAACATAAAATTGAAATGGGTGGTACGTAATATTAATAATAATAAAGTATTTATTTACTCAAGGACAACTCCCGTTAAAACAAAATACTTGAAAATAATTACGAACTTTAGAGGCACAGAGTGAAATGGTATATACCAAACCACAGACTAAACAAATAGAAATAATTAAAAAGTGTAATGGTAATATAGCTTCTATTACCAATAAATGGAACAAATATTAACAATATATTTAAAAGAAACAAATAAATAATTTACATAAATATTTACAGAAACAACTAAATAATACATATATATATATATATATATATATATATATATATATATATATATATATATATATATATATATATATATATATGTATATTTTTAAATTTGAGTTATGTATAAATATATAATATAATTCAAATTTTAAATTATTTAGTTGTTTCTGTAAATATTTATGTAAATTATTTATTCGTTTCTTTTAAATATATTGTTAATATTTGTACCATTTGTTCCATTTATTTTTGTTCCATTAGTTTCATATATATATATATATATATATATATATATATATATATATATATATATATATATATTTATTTTTAAATTTGAGTTATGTATAAATATATAATATAATTCAAATTTTAAATTATTTAGTTGTTTCTGTAAATTATTTATTCGTTTCTTTTAAATATATTGTTAATATTTGTACCATTTGATCCATTTATTGGTAATAGAAGCTATATTATATATATATATATATATATATATATATATATATATATATATATATATATATATATATATATATATACATACATATATACAGGGTGTTTCTCCTTCTTATCACTTATCCTTCTTCGTAAGGAATTAAAGTCATTGACCGGACTTGCATGGACTTTTTGTTTAGTGTCACCCCAAACAAAATAAATCTAGTGGTGTAAGGTCTGGAGACCATGCAGGCCATGCCACTGGTTCTGCACGGCCAATCCATTGATTGGGATAATTAACATTTAGCCATTGTCGTAGACCTCTTCCATAATGTGCAGGACAACTATCTAATTGAAGCTACATGTCCCTTCTCAGTTCTAGTGGAATATGTTCAACTTTATAATAGTAATCATCATTAAGTAATTCCAGAAATGTGCCCGCATTGAGTCGAGGCAGCAAGAAATGCGGACCTATTAAAATATTGACTATTATCCCCAACCACACATTGGGCTGAAACTGGTGCTGAAAATGATGCTCACGAATCGCATGACGAGAGATGATTATTTTTCTGATTGAAGATACCTCTTCTTGTAAAGGTAGCTTCATCTGTCCAGAGAGTTTTTCCTGAAAATTGTGGATTATGCTCAACTTGATTCAAGTACTAATCTGAAAAATTTCTTCTTTGCCGAAAATCTTATGGCAATTAATTTTGTACCCATTGAAAATGATACGGGTGAATCATCTGCAATGAGAGTTCTTCATAGTGTAATTGACGTAATATTTGAATAATTGAATAATATAAGAAATTCCCGTTGGAACGTGGAGCTAAAGATAGACTTGTTTGGTAATCTTCTATTCAGGACTCGCCTGGCACTTTCACGACATGCAGCATTAGCATTACCATTGCAAAAACTATTTACAAACACCATATCGGCATGTTCACCAGTATTATAAATCGAATGCATAATGATGAGTACTCTGCGAGAGACTCTTACAAACAGATAAATGTTATTTAGAGTTCCCAATGCTAATTCCAAATAATATTAATTCTTATGTTGCCAATAGTTTTTATACAGTTAAGAATAAAAGGCCACATTAGTGTTCTATCTAATCCATCTCCTAAACATAGCATTTGCGGACATACCTTCACTTTGAACAACATTTAATATGAATGTTAATGTTTATATTTAATTAATAAAGTACTTAGAACAAATAAATAAGTTTTATTTATTTCATATAACGTAAGTAATTCATAACAATGAAAATCTTTAGGTGTGAATGTCTTCTAGACAAAGTGTTTAGAGAATTTGTTTTTCTTGTTTTGAGGTCGTTAGTTCATTTTTGCAGTTTGGCCAATAAAATACATGAAATAAATTGTGGGCTTTAGAAACACGGAATGAAATAAAAAAGAATCACTGACTAAACAAATTGGAATAATTAGAAAGTGTAATGGAACTTCTATTACTAATAAATGGAAAAAAAGAAAAATGATACAATTATTAACAATATATTAAAAAGAAACGAGTAAATAGTTTATATAAATATTTACAGAAACAACTAATTAATTTAAAATTCGAATAATATTATATATTTATATATAAATTAAATTTTAAAATTTATTGTTTGATTCTTGTGATTTTTCTATAAAACATTTAAAATTTCAATTTGCTACTCGTTATAATATGCTAAAATGAAGGAGGTAGTGGTGGGGATAACCCATGCCTGAATGCCAGTTCTTTCCCGAATTTCTACTTACACACTCTTCGGCCACCTAGTTATGTACGCATAATAAATGCACAGTTGAACTAATGCATTTTTGTGTGGGCTTTAACCAGCTTGGCCATCCCACTCCCTAATTATATACAATAATAATAATGCTCCATAATGTAGTATGGATTATTATTATTGTTAGAAATTAACGTAAAAACACGTGATGTACATTGTTAAAAAATATATAGATTGATTCATTTGGGAACTTACTCAACCTTTGTTTTTGTCTGTACACATTCATTACACGTGGCGATGATGGTGAACAGGCAGAAAAAAAGAAACTCTAGAACAGACAAGGGGTTGGATGAGAAAGTTGATTTTTCTGAGGCCATTGACTCATCGGCTACCAACGAAAACAGGTTAACTCGAAGTAAATATAATATAGAAGAACGAGTAAGTACATTTACGTTTCCTCCTTATAATAATTCAGAAAAATGGGAATATTATATAGACCGTTTTGAACTTGAGTTAGAAATAAAAAATATAAATGGTAACGACGAAATCATAGAGAAGTCACGACGCAATTTATTGTTAAAATGTGTGGGAGCAGAGTTGTATAAACTGGTAGTGGATTATTTCCATCCTACAAAAATTACTCAATTACGTTATTCTGAAATAAAAACATTTTTAGATACATATCTAAAACCGACAAGTTATCTTGCAGAAAGAGTAAAATTTGGGCAAATATTCCGTGACAAAAATCAGTCAATAGCATCGTTTTTAATGAAATTGCGATCGGCAGCAAAAGATTGCAAATTCGGAAATAATCTGGAAGAACGATTACGTGATCAATTTTTGTTAGGATTGAAAAACTCGTCCATGCAGGAGGAGCTTTTTTGTCGTCATCCAGAGGAAAACGCAAGCCTAAAAGAAATAGAAAAATCCGCTCTTATTATTGAGTTAGCCCAAGAACAAAGAAAAGTCACAGAGGATACGGCAGAGGAAACTCATATCTGTAGGATAGCTAAGACCGAGCAGGGAAATAAAATAATTAGAATGGTAGATCCAGCTACAGAATGTATTCGTTGCGGGTACCAGAAACATAAACAGGGTAGTAAATGTCCAGCTAGCGAACACACCTGTAGTCTTTGCAATTCTTATGGTCATTAGGAAAAGAATTGTTTGAAATCTGGCAAAATTAAGCTAAATAAAAGAAAGGCGAAAATAAAATCAGTAAATACGGTAAGTTCAGAGAACTCTACAGATAGCGAATATGAAGTCAACACCGTACTAGACCTCAACGCGATTACTTCAGATAATTCTCGGTTTTTGGTCAAGGGTTCAATTAAACGGCAAAAATATTCGAATGGAATATGACACAGCTGCTGCACGTAGCATTGTTGGAGAAAATGTATGGAAGTATATAGGAAATCCACCACTACAAAAGACCCGTAATTTAAGGGCTTACCCTAATTCCTTGTTGAATTTGTTGGGGGAATGCTCGGTGTCGGTTAAGGTAGGAAAGTAAAGTCTAAAATTGAAATTGGTCGTGATTGAAAACGAAGCCACTCCTTTATTTGGTCGAGATTGGATTACAGCTTTCAAATTATATCCTATGTGTAAACATGTGAAGTTAAGTAATGTTAACAACTCAGAAATTTCAAAAGTTTCAGACGAAAACCTCCAACAGGCTAAAAATAAGGTGTTTGAAGAACACTCTGAACTTTTCCAAAACGGCATTGGAACAGTGAAGGAATTCCAAGCCAAAATTCAGCTACGCGATGGAGTAACACTAAAACTCTTTAAAGCTCGAAGTGTTCCGCTTGCTTTAAAAAGAGCAGCCGATCACGAAATAGACCGGCTTATTCAAGAAGGAGTAATAGAAAAAGTGGACCCATTAAAGACAATGGTAGAATGGGCATCGCCAGTAGTTTTTGCGTCAAAGGCGGATGGAGCAGTGAGGTTATGTGCTGATTTTAGAGTTACCATTAATCCACATATGATTGTGAATCCCCACCCTTTCCCAACATTTGAAGAAGTAGTTCAAAAACTTAGCGGCTTCCAGGAGTTTTCCGTTATCGACCTCAAAGATGCTTATTTGCAGATGGAAATAAGCGAAGAGTCAAAAAAATTTCTGGTTATTGCAACACATCGAGGATATTTCACGTACAAAAGAATGCCGTTCGGTATAAGTGCGGCCCTATCAATATTTAAAGGATATATGGATAAAATTTTGCAAGGCATGGAAGGGGTGGCCTGGTTTTTAGACGACATAGCCACAGGAGGAAAATCTCGAGAAGAACATTTACATCGCGTTAATCTGGTTTTAGAAAAATTGAAATCAGTGGGATTGAAAACTCAGCCAAAGAAAGTAAAGCTGTTTGAAAAAGAAATTAAATACCTTGGCCACAGAATCAACAGGAACGGGATTGCGGCTTTAAATGAAATAGCATCTCCAAAGAATGTTAAAGAACTCTATTAGGCTATCTAAATTA